CCCCCAGCAGCAGCGAGGGTCAGCAAACACCACCCCCAGCAGGAGCGAGGGTCAGCAAACACCACCCCCAGCAGCAGCGAGGGTCAGCAAACACCTCCCCCAGCAGCAGCGAGGTTCAGCAAACACCTCCCCCCAGCAGGGAGGGTCAGCAAACGCCTCCCCCCAGCAGGCAGGGTCAGCAAACGCCTCCCCCAGCAGGCAGGGTCAGCAAACACCTCCCCCAGCAGGGTGGGTCAGCAAACACCTCCCCATCCTTGCCTGACCCAGGACCCAGCGGGGAGGGCACCAACAACTCCAGGCTTAGAGCTCACTGCCCCCAACCATGACAGCCTGTACCGTCCCAACATTCAGCCTGACATGACAACATCAGCAACAAATGAAGCTCGGTGGTAGACGTAAAGGAAAAGGGAAAAAAAAAGCACTATTCTGCGATTTACTAGTTTAATTTAAAAAATTAAAGGAGCTTCCCTCCCCCTCTCCTTCTGAAGTGGATGAAAAGCAAAATCCACCCCTCTAAAAAAAAAAAAAAACCCCAAACATTCATAGGGTAGTTTTTATTGCTCTCGAAGGGCTTGGTATTCAAATACACAAGCTGACCTGGGTTAAATCAGAAGGAAGTCGCTAAGATTTAAAACCCACCCCGGGGGTCTCAATCTCCATTTGCCTGGGAGTCTTCACAGAGCATTCATTGACTCAATGCAGAATTTACACATTATGTATTAACTTCAAGGGGAGGGAACTTATCTGGGAACTATTAATTAGATAGTAAATGATCTAAATTTGCATTTTCCTGGTAATGTATCTGCCCGGTAGTACTCTTCAACTTTTTTCCTCTAAGATTCTTTAGGTATTAGGGAATTAGCGAGTGACACATAGGCAGATAAAGACAGAGGAGCAGCATTTATGTGAAGAAAACTCAGACCCAAGGTTGTCGCTCACTGCAGTGGAAGCCCACGCTCTGCTCAGGGTTCGGCTACAGGAGCTGGCGGAGGGAGGGAGGGGAAATGTGCTGTGAGACGGAGGGAAGCTCACTTCTAAGGGCATTTTAAAGCTGCTTTGTTTTGTTTTAACCCTTTGAGCTCACAAGGAATTGTGTTCATCCGCTATCACTCAAGAGCAAGCATAAAATCCTGGTGTCTTCTCTGCCTGCTCCCTCCGTCATGGTTACCAAATAAAATTCAGTAGACTGTCGTCGTCATGAAGAACATATGCTGTCTCAAGGAATCTTCCCAAAATACATACTTAGGGCCAATGCACCATTATGTTCCCAATTCAGTTTATAATTTTTTCCATGCCTCTTTCCTCTATTTTTTTTTCCCTAGAAAATTCAACCTGCCTCCATTCAGAATGCTGGTTACGGTTTATCAGAGATAACACCCATTATTTTTCTTTCCCTTGCTAAAAAAGAGGAGGGGAGTGTGACTTTAAAAAAGCAAGTTGAAAGTTTAGGAAGAAAAGTACAATGCAGGTGCAGTTTATGGTGGAATGATTTAGCTGAGCCCAGGGAGGACTGGGGTCTGCCCACTCCTCCAACCAGCCCCCGCAGCGGGCATCAAATACACCTTCATTTGTGGAACAGACATCTCCCACTAGGGCTGCAGGCCCAAGGGAACGCTGTGAGGACATAAGCCAAGCAGAGGCTGTCAGGACCCTCTGGAGACACCCCTGTAGCAGGGAGGAGCTAAGGAGGAACTGGCATGCCCGCTGGGCACCCGCGGGAGTTGGGGCTCACCGTCTCTAGTTTTCACTGGGAAGTTGAGAGCCATCAATTGTAAAAATTAAATCTCTAAAAGCCAATGAGCTCCGTGTTAACAGTCTCCACCCACCTCTAGAAGACAGAGGTGTCACGGTGACACTGCTTTTTAAAAAGCATCCAGGAGTCCCATGGGCTGCAGGGCAGAGGTCAGCATGTCAGGGCTCCCAGTCTGCTGGGGCAGAGGGGAGCCGGTCCGGCATGGCCTCCCCTGCGCCCAGTGGAGGACTGGAGACTGAGGCCACAGGGAGAAGGGACAGAGCAGATCTGGGTACGGGAGGACTGTATGTTTCACCGAGTTCTAGGGGCCCATTCACTTTAAAACCAGATTTCAGATGTTTCCACCCAGGGTTAGGGAGGAGACAGGCAGGATGCTCTGGAAAATAAAATGGGGCGTTTGCCTACAGCCAGCCGGGTGCAGGGCTACGACCCGACCGACACTCAGCGTGTGCTTATCACCAAGAGACCTCTCTCCACGGCCACCCCACTGTCTGGAAGCGAAGGTGCCGTGCCATGCCGAGCAGAGCAGTGAGCAGGCGCTTTGGGGCGGGACCCTGTCGCATCCGTCCCCAGGAGGACAGAGGGAGAGTCGCGAAGAGAAAGTTCGCTGCGGGTGCAGGGCAAGAGGTGAGGGGCCAGGGTAAGCTCCTGAAATTACTAATAAAAAACAAAAATGGGATCTAAGTTTAAGAAGAGGAAGCGTCGAAAGGCTCCCTCCGGCAGGCAGAGTTCTTGAGAGCTGACATGGGGTACGGCCCGGTGTCCCCGGAGCAGACGCCTGTGAGCGCTGCTCCCCGAGGGGGCCCCGCGGCCCGCGCAGCGTGCTGACGGCTCCGTCTGCCGGCCTTCCCACTCCTCTACCCTTGGCTCAAGTTTTATTGTTAATATTAGTCACCAGTTAATAAGAAAAATAGTTTCTAAGTGTCTTTTTTTCCGCTCTGTGTGTTGTTCTGTTTTTAATTGAGTTAACTGGATACCACCGTCCGATCATGTGTGTTCAATCAGGGCCATTAATTATTCCTTTTTCTTAAATTCTTGGTTTCCGTAGCTGGAGCCTTTTTCTATTTCAGTTACTCCTATTAGTCGTCGCACTCCAAAGGAAGCTTTAAAGCAGGAAAAAGCGGAGGTTAGACTGATGGCTTTGCCCGACCTCCCTCCTCCCTCCTCCCCGCACCCGCCAGGTCAGCCTGTCCTGGGGCACAGATGGCCTCTGCAGCGTAGTGGCCAGAGCCCACTCTCAGAGGCCAGCAAGGCTCGGGTTGGATCCCAGCTCCCCGTGGGCTGTCACCCTGACCGGCACACGGAAGACCCCCAACCTCGAGCTGCGTTGTCATTCGCATTTGTTACCTGCCCCCACAAACCCCAGGAACATCAGGATCAGGAGGGGAGATCCGCTTGCGAAGACGCCCAGGACAAAACTGAAGAGAGGCGACAGGAGAATCGTGGCCCAGGCGAGGAAGTTGAGGAGCGTCCAGGGCCTTCGGGCGGGTTTGAACTGCTCCCCTGGAAACACCCCCTTCTGGTTGTACATCTCCTGCAACGCATCCTGAAAGAGTCGACCAGAACAGCGGTCTCTTCATCTGCTATTCTTTTAACACGAGAGAACAGTATTGATGGTGAAAAATGACTCAACTATAAAGGAGCCACGTAAATAAAGTGGAGGATTATGTACGCTGCGGATGGGAGGGGAAGCTGGCACAAGCTGTGTGGAGAACCTTGGCTGCTTGAACCAAAAGCCTGAAAAAATACAAACCCTTTTACCCGGCAAGTTTCCTAGGAAAACAATCAGTCCGTGCCTGGCACATGGTGGGTACCTCTGACCCCCAGGACTGCCGGTGTTGGCCAGGCCCCTCAAGAACCCCCGCTAGGTCTCAAGGGCGGGGATGGTGGCCATGACCCCCTGGGAGTCCAGCGGCCTGGGCACAAGTCTTGGTGTCACTCATCAGCTACATTGCCCACAGAAAGTTACTTAACCTCTCATCCCTCTGTTTCCTGGAGGCTGATGATGGGAGGAGAGATGAGCGAGGGAAGGCCCAGTGGGGAGAGGATGCTGTCAGAGCCTTTCCATCAGCGGGACGGGGGACGCTCCACACTGAGCAAGGCTGACAGGCCTAGCTCACCGACTCCTCTGCTGCTGTCACACGTAATATGGTTGTACGTTAACAGGGAGACGAAATCATGATACTTTAAGATATGTGAAGGAAGATGTTAAGAACCATATGATTCTATTTAAATAAAAACTGTGTATGACTGTGTCTGTTTGTATGGGACCAAGTTTGGAAAGACGACAGCAACAGAATCTTGGTGGTGACCCCTGGGGGCGTGGAATGTCATCTGTTTTTATCCTCTTCTATTTTGTTTTCTGCACACAATTTTCTACAGTTGTGCTTTGTACTATATAAAAATGGAGGGGCCTTAACAAACACCCAGCCTCGCAGCCTCATCCAGTCTGTGGGTAGGCACCAGCTGCTCGGCCCTTCGATGGGGCACATGGCCTGCGTTACGGGGCCTCGTGTGGTCAGGACCTGTGACCTCCAGGGCGACTGCACACGCTCCCCCCACCACCACCTGGAAGGCCCTTCCCTGCACGGCCCCCAGAACATTCCAGCCATTTCCAAGCACAATTGGCCTCCTCCGCTCTGACCACCCTGACCCTACGCACAACAGGACCTGCCTTGCTCTCTCCACCCAGAGCTGCACACGTGGCGTGGGAGCTCAGCAGAGCCTCCCCACGTGTTTACAGTACATGGTGGGTAAGGTGATCCAGGGCCCGAGACGATGACACAAAACGAGAAGGCAGAAGCTCTCCCTTGCGTGAGAGTGTGTTGTGACAGGTTTATATGAGGTTTGTGACAGGGTTTGTTTCTTTTGATCATCTGAATCTCACAGACACACACGATCCTAACACAGACGTGCTTGTATAAACTCTCCCCAGAGACCGTCAGTGTTGCCCACACACTGGGTTGTCCCCCTGGTGAGGCTCCCTGTGGGGTGAACCCTCAGGCAGTGGTGGTGCTAACCTCTGACCTTTCCTGACTTGTCAGCAATTCCACACACAAGCAAATGAGCTGCCCTCATTGCCGCCTGTTTCCACCTTCTTTCATGTTCCCGAGGCCTCGCCAGCCCACCCCCAGTAGACAGCCCACACATCTTGGGCAGCACGGCCGTGGTCGCCTGGGTCTCTTCGTGTCACCACATCCCGCTTCCTGCAGGAATGCTTTCCGTTCCCAGCGGTTACTCCAGGAGCCCCAATCCCCCTGCCCCCCCAACTCCGTCCCTCTGGGAGGGCCCAGAGCGGTGGTCCAGAGGCTAGCCTGGCTCTGCCAGCCACTAGCCGGGCCACCTCCAGCCGGTCACTCGACTCCATGAGCTGGAATCTCGCCTGTATCGGGCGTGATGACAGTGTCCCCCTGGCAGGTGTTGGTGAGGTTAATGAGGTGAATTACGGAGAAGGCCTGTTCTCCTAGGGATGGACCAGCCACACAAACACTGCTGCCTGCGATGACTCGTTGTGTGCACCTGCCATGGCTTCTCCCAGGAGGCAGCACACCATCCTTCTGAACTGGGACCCAGATCAGGAAACACATTTTATGCTGCAACCCAGTGCCCACATACGCACGCAGTGTGTGTCTCTGCAGCACATTTCAGGAGGCAACAAAACTCGCCCCGCCACGGGGGAGCATTCAGGCACATTCACTCCAGCCTGCTTCCCTGGAGGAAAGAGCTGGGCTGACGTGCAAAATGATTCCTGGAGCTGGCTCTCCAACAGTGTCCTCTTGCCTTGTCCCCAATCCCCGCCTGACCAACCTCCTCTGTCCTCTTTCAAAGCTCTGCTGAATGTGCTCATTCCGGGACTTGAGAGAAACTGAGACTCTTTCGACCCTCATCACCTCCAGACTCCCTAATGGCTTCCAGGCCCTCTCCCCCGTTCCCCAAAGCCCGGGCTCCCTGGAGAGGCCCCAGGGGCCCTACCCTCTCTGTTACTATTGGGCCAGAGTGCACGTGATATTGTGACGGTGACTCGAGTTGCCAGGAGGCATGAACATGGGAAGCTGGAACTTGGACCCATTTCCCTCACCAGCCGCTGCCTGGTCAGGGCCGGCCATCCCTCCACGTGGCACAGGTGTGGTGGAGAGTGTGAGGGGCGTGAGGCCAGGAGACCTGGGGACAGCTCCAGCCCGGCCACCCACAGGATCGTCACTTCCTCCTCAGGACCTTAGTTTCTACATCTGCGAAATAGGGAAATTGTATGGAACGACCTTTGAGGCCCTTTGGTGACCCTGTGGTCTGTTTCTATGTTATGATCGGAGCTAAAGGTAAATAACCAAAATGTAAGGGGTCACGCCTTTTGGAAGCATGGATGTTACACCAGGACCGAAGCAGAGAGTCTGGTCACTGCGGGATCTTTGCATATTCCCGGGGTGGAGGCAATGGGGCCGCAGGTGATCCAGACGCTCCACTCACAAGATGGGGAGAGAAGGGGGGACTCACACTCCACTGGGGGGTGTGGACTGGGCAGGCTCTTGGAAGCATGACCTAGAACAAGTTCACGAAGGAAGACAGCTACCACCACCAGTCACAGCATTGAGGAGACGTCTTACAGAAACTCCCACGTGGGCCTGGCCGCGCCGGGAACAGCAAAAGTGGGACACAAGCTAAAAGCTCACAGTGGGAAAACGACTGACGAAAATGGGGCCTCATCATGTGGCGGAATGCCACACAGCACCGAAGAGTGAATTGAGTCTATTTATGTCAGTGTGGACACATACAAAAACCATGGGGACTGAAGAAAACACAGGAGAACACCACACACAGTACGGTGTCCTCGACGTGAATTAAAATGTAAGAGACACGGAAAACAACTGAAATGTGGCATATTTCAGTACTATAGAAAAACAGCAAATAACATAAAAATATCCAAAATAAATCAGTTATGTCAAAACTTATCATTTGCTGCATTTGCATCAGATTATTTTAGAAAGTGAACCTTGGAGATGGAAATGAGGCCTGCGCTTCCTTCACCCCCAGAAGTCATCATGCTCGGGATGTGGCGGTTTACCCGGCACCACACACGCACGTGTCCGTGGACGGTGACTCACGGTCCCACGTGCCTGTCCTGTGAGCTCTGTCAGTAGCAGCATACCACACGCACACTGCAATCTGCTTCTGTCACATTACATTCTTGAGATTTAGTTATGTTGATAATATGTAGTTCATTCATTATATTGAGTCACAGCATACGAATACACATATACAGTGTATCTATTTCCTGATAAAGAACTTTTAGGTTTTTTTTTTGTTTCCTGCTAAACAAATGCTGTTACTTGCAAATGTCTGTGTAAGAGTTTCAAGCCTTTAAAACCTGACCCAGGCTCAGAGATGCATTCTCCTTCGCAACCTGGTGCATACAAGCCCTCTCTGCCTGTCTATCTCCATGGTGCACACACTATATTTTTTTTTCATTTAGGTTTTCTCTTTCTCCTAGAGAGAGTTATATTGTTCTTGGAAATTACAACATTTTATCTGAGCATTCAAATGTCCGAGCATAAAGTGAGTCACACTGCTCTCATATGACTTTCACTGTCTGCGCTTCGGTGGGATCACCTTTTTTATTCCTGTTAATGCCGTCACTCTTCTTTAATTGGTCAGTCTTGCCCAAAGCTTTCTATTTTGTTAATACTTTTAAGGGAAAAGCTTTTGGTGCAGTTGATGCAGTCTTTTGTAGTCTTGCTTTCTGTTTCAATAATTTATGCTATTCTTATTATTTTCTTTGCTCTACTCTCTCTGGGTTTACTCTCTTTTGTGTGTGTATATGTATGTGTATATAACGTATGTGTGTGTATGTGTCTGATTATTAAGAGGATAAAATGTGTAAGACATTTAGAAGAGATTCTGATATATAGCAAGTGCTATTTGTCTAATATCAACCTCACAGTCACTCCTGTGTGGGCAGTATGTCTCTTCTCTTTGGTTATTCTAACATCTTCTCATTGTCTTTGGTGTTCTGCAGTTTCATTCCTAAGCAGGCGTGGATTTCTTTCTTTCTTCTTTTTTTTTTTGTGAGGAAGATCGGCCCTGAGCTAACATCTGCCAATCCTCCTCTTTTTTTTTTTTTTTTTTTTTGCTGAGGAAGACTGGCCCTGTGCTAACATCCATGCCCATCTTCCTCCACTTTATATGGGACGCCTGCCACAGCATGGCCTGACAAGTGGTGCGTCGGTGTATGCCCAGGATCCGAACCGGTGAACCCTGAGCCGCCACAGCAGAGCGCAAGCACTTAACCGCTTGCGCCACCGGGCCGGCCCCTTGGATTTCTTTTTATTTATCCTATTCTAGACTTGTATTTCTTGACCCTGATGAAATCTATGTTCATCAATTCTAGTTTTAGGGCTATCATCTCTGACCATTGTTCTTCACCATTCTTTCTACTTTCTCCTCTGGACCTTCTAATAGTTACATATTTGACCTCTCAGTTTATTCTCTATATCTTTTAAGCTTCCTTTCATATTTTCACTGAAATATGCTATACTCTGAGTAATGCAGCATTACTGCATTACTGAGTAATGCATTCTGAGTAATTTCCTCAACATCTTCCAGTTTATTAATTCTCTCTCCAGCTGTATCTAACCTATTTAATCTGTTAATTAAGATTTTATTGTCAACCACTAGATTCGTCACGCCTATAAAGTCTACTTGTTTTTTCTCAAGTCTTTCTCATTTTCTCATAGGTCTTGCTCTTCTGTTTTCAATTCCTTCTTTTGTGCTCAGTCATTTCAAACACACTGATGTTAGTCTCTATCTGACAGTTCCACTAGCTGAGGCGTCAGGAGGGTTTGATCCTCCCGTTTGTCACGTCTGCCGTCCCTTGCCCAAGGTGGGTTTTGGTTACGAGCGCATCTCCAGCAGGATTGCAGCCCGGAGATCTGGGCGGCTCAGGCCTGGAGTTGTGTTCTTCTGGTTCCACACTCGCCTCTCCCAGGAACTCCAGCGAGCTGTGCCTAGAACCACTTTCTATGTTGATATTTAGGCTGTATTCTTCTGGGACTGTGTTGTTAGAATAAATTCAAACCCCAAACCTGTTTGAGGACAGGCCTGTGATTCTGAATTCCAGGGGAGGCCTTTCTAAGACCAAGGGGACAAAGGCAAGCTTCAAGGTCATTTCCCCGTGCTGGTAGGTAAATTCTCTCCAGTTTAACCTTTCTAAGGGTAAAACTCTCAGAGCGTCCCAGCTTCATGTGAGGTTTTCAGCTCTAACTTCCTGCCTTGAATGAGGTCAAACCCTTATCTTCTTTTCCAGGTAGGCATTAAAACTCACGACTTTAGGTTACAGGGACCAGCAAACCCTGCCATCAGAGAGTGGCAGCATCAGCTCGCAGGCATACCACCTGGTTTCCAGTTCCCATCCCTTTTTTGATCCTAGAAATTTCCCTTATTTTCTTGAGAGGTCGTCAGTGCATTTAAAAAGATATTTATTAGATACTGGAAGGATTTTCTGATTATCTAAGCTCCTACAACGCTGAAAATGAAAACCTAATGTCCTGTATGTTTGTGTATATGAAATAAACTGGAAGTAAGAGTCAGGGGGTGAGGCATGCAATGGGGGAATGGAGAACGGACCGGGTGTGGTTGTCACAGAATCCTTTCATGTCATCTATATTGTGTCTCATATATTAAATCACATATACACACACCCCCACATAATACATGTGTGTTAAATATCTAGAATTTCTTTTACATAAAAAAATGAAACAAATGTGATAAAATGTTATCAGCCATGGTTATATAAACATTATGTTATCCATTATACTTTTCTCCAGTTTGTTAATTTCTCAAAACATAAGAAAAAATGAAAGAAAAAAGAAAAGAAAGATTAGAAAGAAGTATCAGGGAACTGCATGTACTTGTCCCCAGAGGAAGTCAACGTGCCCCCGCCTGCCCCATCAGCTGCCCCTGCGAGACCCTTCACAGCCCCCTGAGGGAAAGTGGAGCCTTTACCTTCTCCTGGTAGAGTTTATGAAGCCACTGGGCCGCTTCCTTTTCATCCAGCGGGATCTCTTCCAGAGGAAATCTCCTGTTTTACCGAGAAGATTGAGAGCAAAGTGAATGACTAGACAACATCAAGCTGAAAAGGGGAAATAAGTTATTGTGCATCGGGGCTACTTGTTGGCCTGCTGTTTCCATTCCAGTCTCACCCTCGGTTTCTAAACACACATGAGCATCAAAGCAACTCCTCGGGCACCCACCCCGAGGACGTGGAGTCTCCTGGCACTCTGGGGGATGGCAGGGGCCTCGGGGGGCGGCTGAGAGATGCATGTATGTTCACGGGATAGCTGAAGTATTTCACAGGGATACCATGAACAGCTTACTCAGCAGATCAGGCCCCCAGTTCCACTGCGAAGGGTGACCATTTATTAGCTTCCGCAGGAATTTTGTTCTTTCTTAATAGTTCATTCTTTGGAAATAATCATGAGTGAGAGTGTATTTCATTAGGCAAAGAAGATCACGTATTTCACCAATGAAATCTACTAGCTTCACATATGAAAAGCAGTAGAGATTTAGAACTTTAATCTCAGTACCAAACAGCTGACTTCAGTTAGGACACTAATTTATTTATAAACCTAATCACCAGCGGGATTACCAGCCCCAGGGTGGAGGTGTCTACCTTGTAAGATAAAACAGGCCAAGAACCACCATCCACAGCCACTGTAGTGCCTCAAGAAGGCCAGCAGGGGGCGCTGAGCACACGCACGAGCCAAAATAGTTAAGGGGACATGGTCATCACCGGGGCCTGGCTGCCCACCTCAGTGGGCCCACAGTGAGAGAAGAGCCAGGAGAGACCTTCACAGCCAGAGGTAAATCTCCATGTTTCAAGGTATCTCAACCTTTTTGTCTCAAAGAATTGAGAACTTTGGTCTCTGCTGATCTTGACCACATCAGAAATGAACAGAATTTTCACAACACACGAGATCAGACATTGGAGTGACGCTGTGCCGCACGTCACGTGGCCTCTGGGAAAATCCCCTGTGTGCTCAAGGGAATGAAGAAGGCACATAACCTCCTAGTAAACAAAACCAGCTCAACTTGGTGAGCCCCGGAAGGTCTTGGGGACCTCCAGGAGACCCCAGACCATACTTTGAGAACTAGAAGGGTTTGGCACACAGGGACCATTTCAGTAAGGAAACCAAGTTCAGAGAGGTCTGTCTACAGAGAGGTGACTGCCGTAAAGTTTCCAACTCACTCGACTCTTCTCCCAATTTCACGTGTTTATCATAGATACACCACACACGGGTTCTGTTGTGTGTGTGTGTTACACGCGGTATGAAATATATAAAATAAGAATGAAAAATGATGAGTAAGAAATAAATACAAACATGAGCACCTACCTCCTGGAGTGGACTCAGCCACTCTGAGGACACTGCCCCAAGCACCAGCGTGAACCAGGAGAGCCCCAGGCCACCATCCCCACAGGCCCCACAGGCGAGGACAGGGATAGAGGCAAACTCCATCAGCTGTGAGAACCTTGGCTTGTTGGATTACAAATACGTGTGGACTCACTGGAATTCTGCTCTTACTTAACAACACACAAAACACTAAGTTGAAGCTTTTAGAAGTTCTGAGAATATATCTATTAAAATGAGATTAGGTAAAATATAGCCCCCCACTCTCTGCCACAAAGGGGAAATGAAGAGATTAAAGCACAGGTCCTCTCCTGCTGGAGCTGAGGGTGCACGCGGAGGCGCAGGGCAGCCTGGTGGGGGGGCCGTGGGAACATTCCGGCCTGACAACTTCCCCAGAGGAACGTAACACAGAATTGGAACAAAACCAGAGCCTCCCTTTGTACTTTCCCTTCTTTGTGCTCTGCCAGAGTGGCCCTTAGAGCACAGCCTGCCTGTCCGGAGGGGCCAGGAGGAATCCTGGAGGAGACTCTCCACCCCGTGTAGCTCCCAGGGCAGATTTCAGACGGGCCTCCCATAAGCCGGAGGGGCCGCCCGCCTTCCCTCCACCAGCCAATGCCTTTCAGAAACTTGGTTCTCTGATCCCTCTACTGCCCACCCCACCCCTGCCTCTATCCTCTTGCTTTGCACCCAGTAGGCACTCAATAAATGCTCAGTGCACAAATTAACAGGAATCGTTTCTGATAATCTCAGGATGTTGTAAGGAAGGGCTCCATAGGGCCCTACCTCAGACTGAGCTCCACTTCTTGGGGATTCTGGGGGGTCTGTAAGCTGGCTGAGCAGCTGTGCCCTGACCAGCTCCTCTGTCCTTCTGGCAGGACTGTCTCTGGACAAATGGGGTTGAGGCTGGCTGGGCAGACCCTGCTGGGCTCAGTCCCATGGCTGCCAGGAGCTGGAGCCGAGCGGGACTGAGGTCAGCCCATGGCCCTGACCTCACCTTCTCTCCTGGGCGGTCTGCATGAGCTGCGGGTCTACCCAGCTGTACACCACAAAAAAGGGACCACGTGGGCGTCCCCCTCAGGCTGGGATAGCTTATCCTTCTCCTGCCCATGGAAACAATGGTCACTGTGCAAGCTTTAGCTCACACCTCTTTCAAAAAGCCTCTGTGCTCCCTCCAGTGGGAGAGGGTCACTCCTCCCTTGGAGCATCCGGAACATTCTGCCTTCACCCCCGGACCCACTCACTCACTTTGTGCGACAGGAGTTCTCATGTCTGTCCCCAAGTATGCACCACCTCCACGTAGGGGCAGCCCGGGAGGTGGGACGGGCCCATGTGTCAAGGGGTGACGGCGAGCCAGCCCCCCAAGCCTCTGTCCCAGAGCTGGGAAGGCTCGGGGAAAGGGCAGCCAGGTCAGGCCCAACGTGTCCCCACGGCCCCCCTCGGACCACATGGGCCCCCACGGCCCCCGTGGGCAGCTCTCGGATCTCACCTCACACACATGTCCGCCTCGTACTTCTTCCCGTAGAGGATGCCCAGCAAAGACGGGTTCTTGTTCCCTCGGAAGTTCAGCGTCACATCGTAGACAGCGGCGACTGCAGGGGAGGGGGCAGAGGTGACATACTTTAGAGGACGAGCCCGCCCCTGCATCCCCGAGCAGAACCCATGAAGGCTTTTTATACGGATTCCGTCTTCCTTTGCCGGTCCTCCTCCTCCAGCCAGGCATTCAGCTGACCCACCCACTGTGTGCCCTGACCATCCGGGACATCCACCGCCTGGCCTGTTTCCCTCTGTCCGGTCTGGTCTTTGTCTCTTTCTTTTATCTTGCCTTTTTGATTAATTAGATATATTAATTTTTCTCCCTTACAAGGTTTTCAGCTACATACTTTATTATTATTTTAGTTATTTTCCATTAAGCAGCATTTTATCACCTCAAAAATGATACCAGAATCTCACAACGTGTTAACCCACTTACTTGATTCTCCCTTTTACACTACTGTGTCCTGTATTTTATGTGTAATTCACTCATGTAGTTTTGGACAAATCCCTGTTTTCATTTCTCGAAGGGCCCAGGGAACAGCGGCGGTCCCCGGCTCGGCAGTGGCCACGCTCACCTGTCCCGCGGAGGCACTTGACCGCGGTGGTGAAGCCCTTGGTCCGGGGCAGCAGGTGGTACTTGAGGGCGGGCAGGCCCTTGGAGGCGGCCACCTCCATGCTGACGCGGTGCTTCTTCTCCGTGAAGCGCGTGCCCTCGCAGTACAGGAGAAACTAGGGCGTGAGCACAGGACAAGGTTACTCCAGGTGGCGTCAGGTCGGGGACGCAGGCCCTGACGGGCTCAGACGTTTCCCACCCACATGCGGCCTCGACTGGCAGCTACACGTTTGCCGCTGAGTTTATAGAAGTGACAGGACCACTCCAGTGACAGGCCAGCACGTGGCACAATTTGAAACGTTATTTTATTTTAGGACTGCGATCTGCACTCCAGCCACACCAGGTCCCTCACAGAACAGCTCACGGCATTCCACTTCTTCTCAGAGGATGCAAAAAGACCACTTTCCAGAAAGCAGTGGAACAGGAAGGAGTTCCTGGGCAGAGCCGTCTGATTAGTGAGGGGAACTTATAAACTATTATCCATTCGCCTCAACATGCGAGCTAGAAATGCTTCACGAGAGCCAGTCCTCACAGAGCTGCCACCAGAGACCAGGAAGGAGCGTCAGAAAGGGAAATGATATGCAAACTGACTGATATCGACAATTCAGACGGCTGCCCCGTCAAACTCCAACTGAGGGGCTCGGAAAAACCAGCGGAGCCCCCACCCTGCCATGGAAGGGTGTGTGTTCTGGAGTGCAGGGTAAATCTGCTATGTGCTGAGGTATAAATGTTCCCACAGCACTGTAGCGTCACTGGGGTTTGTTTTGAAACCCAGCTCTAGCGAAGACCCTCCCTTAGAGGGGGCTCCCCAGCCTGGGAGCTGGGCTGGGCACCAGGCAGACCCCCACACTAACACTCCTCAGGGACTCCCAGATCAGCCGAGCCACGTGCTCCTCTGCACAGGGCCGGGCGGCAGGGGGTGCAGGGAGGGCCCTCAGCAGGGGTCTGGGTCCCAAGTGGGGCCGGTGGGAGCATGTGGCCCAAGAGATGTCCCCAAGCCTGCACACCCAGAGGGGGGCCCTGGCCCTGCTATGAAGCAGCCTCCCTGCTTCTTTCGGCTTTACAACTAGTCATTTAATTATTATTTATGCATTCGTGACAACTGAAATAAACCAAGCGGTCTTCTCCCAAAACGGGTGGCTTCAGTCCCAGCCACAGCGGCCGTCTCTGCAGGCGGCACTGCGCCTGGCACTCACCCACATGGACTCAGGGTAGTCAGACAGGCGCTTCAGCCCCTCGATGACTGTGTCCCGGTCCTCTTCCCATTTCCGTTTGCAGAACACGATCTCCAGGAAGTACCACGTCCAGCCGATGAGGGGCACGTACAGCAGCTCCCTCTTAGCAAGGACTTTGGAACTCTGTGGGGGGAGCAATGAGTGCACCTCAGGGCCATGAGGTCGTGCAGGTGCCCCCTGGGGACTGGCGTGGTGCTCAGTGACCTCACTGTCCCCGGGGAGACCCTGACACTTGGGTGTGGCGCCGCTGGGATCTGCTCGACCTCGAGAGTGCGGGGGTGCCGTCCTGCAGTTGAGGAAGCCGAGGCACAGACCTGGGGGACGGCGGGTGAGGCCATGGAGGGGCCCAGGGTGTGGCCGGCCTGGACTCCAAGGCTGCTCTGGCCGCCAGGCCCACGCCTTCCTTAGGATAGCTTGGGGCTGCCATCTACAGGGGCTTTCCCAGCAAGGGACACCTCAGTGTCTCAGTGGGGTCATTTACCTTTCTCCTGAGGCAGCTTAGCTAACGGAGGGAGCCCTGGGGGGACTCACAGGGGTGATAAGTGAGGGTTTATGGGAGGAGATGCGGTAACGGCTAGTCTCATGAGTAAGTCCCAGGGCCCCCTCGGTCAGCCGTGTGCTCCACCCCTAGCTCAAAGGGACCAGGGGCTAGAAACGGAGGGAAGGACCAGAGCCGTGGAGACTCCAGACCCTAGGGAGCCATGCCAGCACCTCCCTGGGACCCCACATCGCTCACCCCCACACCCTCCCAGGACCCCAACATCACTCACCCCCACACCCTCCTGGGACCCCCACATTGCTCATCCCCCCACCCTCCCGGGACCCCAACGTCACTCACCCCCACACCCTCCTGGGACCCCCACGTTGCTCACCCCCCCACCCTCCCGGGACCCCCACGTTGCTCACCCCCCCACCCTCCCGGGACCCCCACGTTGCTCACCCCCACACCCTCC